GTCTTCAGTGTCACATGATCCCTCAGAAATCATTTTAAAAATATGGAGCTCAACAAGCACTTATTATTATCAGTGTTGAAGCAGTTGTGCTGCTTAATATTTTTGTGGAATATGTGATAAATTTTTTTCAGGATTCTTTGATGAACTGAAAGTTCAATTGAACAACATTTATATGAAATAAAAATCTTCCGTAACTATGTAAAAGTCTTTACTGTCACTTTTGATCAATGTGTCTTTGTTTAATAAAAGTATTAAGTATTTCTTTAAATAAATAAATAGTGTATAAACTGATAATTCAATAATTCAACATCAACACTGTGCCATTTTGTTCTAACTCATTCTTATTTTACACTTGTGGAAATATGGCTGTAAGTGAGGAGGTTTGGGTGTGCATGAGTGTGTGATCTGTCCTCTGACACACAGTGTTCTCAGCAGGGAACTGAAGCTCTATATGGAGCCTCAAGCATGTATCAACCTTTAACAGACAACCGATATAGCTCATAAACCAACATAAACACACTCAAGGAAATGTCAAATAATACAAAAGATATTTCTCTACAGTTTTAAAAATAAATAAAAAAGCTATAATTTTCATAAAACCCCAGTGAGACATGGATTTTGGTTTACTTTTATCCCCCAAATATAACCCTTACAACAATAAAATGAATGAAATAACTGAGTGTTTCAATAGAGCTATTACATGTAAAAATGTGCAGTTTTTGTATAAATATTGCTATATGTATTTTTATTTGCATCAATATATAGCCATACGTGGTCCATGCACACATTGCAGTATATTGAAAAATATAAGAACTAGTTTCCCATATATAAAAATGTATTATTTAATATATTGCATTATATTTTCCATTATATTCACAAAGTAATTATGCTTTTTTCAGTTTTTACTACGCTTGTGGAGACATTCGGTACCCAGGATGTATAAGTAAACCCTGATCCACACACACACACACACACACACACACACACAATTATTTCCATAAATGTACTTGTTTACACCTGTTCTGGACACCTTAAACATCTGCTACTCATATATCACTGAATAATAGACAAATGCCCTGAAATCATCTATTACTCAATTACAATCACCAAAGCAGTCATCTGCTGATGTGTTTCTGCTTTGAATGAATGAAAAACAATCCCACAACTGCGACAGATGCAGAACTTCCTGAAACGGCTGAATACTACAAGACAAACGTGCTTTTATAGGCAAGCAAATATGGTTACAAAGCAAGACAGAGAAAAAAAAGAGAGAAAGACTGAGATGATCAATCTCATAACGGATGATCACATGATCACATACATATAGAACAAAGCATCTGAACAGATGGATAATGGGCTCTTCTCCACCTCTCCAACAAAATCACCCTCTTCATCTCCCCCTCGATGTGTGAGTCTCTCTCATTCTCTCTATCACCCCTTCCCCTCCCCCACATCACTCCTTCATGTTTGTGCGTGTGAGCAATAGAGAGAGACTCATTATTACATGGCTTCGCTCATTAATGGTGTGGAGCGAAGCTCATTCATCACATTGCGTGGCTGTAAATTCTGCTATAGGGGCTCACCAGTGCACGAGTGCTCACCATGGGACAACCCCCCGAAAAAAGCATTTAACTCTCTGAACTCTCACTGCCCAATGCACAACTGTAAAATTATAGTTATGCACCATTAGAAAGCCCAGTCTGTTCCAGCTAAGAGAAAATCCAGTTAACAGATATGTAAATTACAAAAAAAGATTTATTTTATATTTAAAGACACTTAGCAGACACTTTTGTCCAAAGTCAGAGGAACAAAGAGGAAGAAACTGTGTTGACAATCTTTGTTTTGATCATCTTAAACAAAACATAAACCAAAATTAAAATTAACTATATTTTAAAAATTATTTTTACTATTCACTACCCAGAAAATCCATGAAAACAGTTAACAGCTGTAAATAAAATATGCACATAGACAACTGTTTTAATAAACTTTCACTAAATGTACATTTAAAAAAAAAGAAAATTAACTATATTTTACATTATTTTACTATAGTTTTCACACATTCATGATATATTTACAATAGTATAATACTTTGCGTATTTAAGTAATAAAATAATTGTGATAAATCTCATGATATGCAGCCATCTTTAGAAAGAAGAAAAACGAAACAGCAATAATATTAAATTTGGTTTGTGTATTAGCATTATTGCATGAAACATATTTAAAATGTTAAATAATTTTGAAAGCAAATTTTTTGCTCCACTGTGTTTTTTGGCTTTAACTGTGACTGTATTCACAATGTTAAAATAGTATTATATATGAGACTATACTATAACGCATTATAAAGGAAATAGCAAACCATATCTTTATTAATCTTTCACAAAGCATGAATACATATTAATTATATTTTTATAACTGTGAGCTGAAATTGTTCTGCTTATATAAAAGGCAGAAAAGCACAAAACCAGACAGAAAAAAACTACATTGTCCTTATCTATGGGCATCTGTTATCGATTGTTCCCTAATATCTAAATAGGATACATCGTCTCTTAAAACTGGATTTTTCTCATCTGTTCAAAGGCAACTGTGAATATCAACAAATGGTCAGCAAGTTAATTCAAATGTCCTGGAGGATCCAGTAGCTTCACTTCTCCATGACTGAGTTCTGTATCAGGATACACTGTCCTGGAGCACACGAGTGAAACCAGCTAACCTTCATATGACCTCTGCCAATGGCAATCAGCTGGTCTCTCTGCCTCTACCTCTCTCTGTTCTCTTACTTTCTTCTTTGCTCAGTCCATTTGTGTAATATAAGATGCAGATATTATACCAGCCGTGAAAGAGGAGGATGAACTTCTAAGATCACAATGACACAGCTTCAGACTTCAGTGATTATTTAATTTTCCTGACTTCCTTTCTGTCTTTCTCTTTAGCGTAACAGACTAAACACCCCAGAGACTGATCTGAGATCAGGACAGTGACACTCAGACGGCCCGACTCCCAAAACACAACAGATTCCCTGTTCCCACAGCGACCCTCAGTATAACCTGGGATGCAGAAATCTACATTGTGTGACACAGCTTTAAAACCATGACATTATAGAGCAAAATAATCCGAGAGAATTCAGAAGAGCCAAACTCTGAAATAAACAAAGAGACCCATTGTATGAGGAAGAAAAGTGAACCATTTTGATATATACTAAATGATACCATATTCACATACCATGGTATTAACCAGGGCCGCATCCATTGACATCAAGGGTGACACGTATTCCTGAATATTAAAGTTAAAGCTTGATCAGTGGGGATTTCAATGGTCAGTTCTTCTACTATTCAATTTGGTTCCCAATTTTGGGTATTACCTCAATACAGTACATGTCCAAAAAGGCATGGTATTACTATGGAATATTTTCATAGTAGAATACTGAGATACTCTGATGGGAAACCCAGACTAAATGACCAACCCAGATCCCCATAGGCCACATATAAAACAGCTCTCTCTCTTTGGCAAACAAGACTTCCTATTTGCTCTCCTTTTAAATGCATGTTTTGTGTCGGTGCATGTGTGTGTGTGTGTGTGTGTGTGTGTGTGTGTGTTTAAGCACATGTGTGTCTCTGTCCCACAATGCCAAGGCAATTACCTCCTCCATACAAGAATGCGGCACAGATTAACCTCCATCTTTATGATGTCTCTCTGGTTGCCATTCATAAGTAAAAGGGAACCCTGTCCTCTGTTTTCTCTCATATTTTCATTTCATCACACTATCTCCTCTTATGTTCTCATTTCAAGAAAATAAGTTATAATTCCTTTTTCCCAGGCCATTATGTATTGTAATCCATACATATCCATAAAACTAACTTTCTCTCATCATTTTGGTTTCAAAGCATTTGATTGGTATGAATATTTTGCCAAAGTATCAATAGAAAGATATTGATAAAAATAATAAAATTTAAATTAATACAATAACAAAATTAAATATATAATAAAATAAAACTGAAAGAAATGAAAAAAGAAATAGATAAAACAATGTCAGTAACTATAATGAAAATTATCAAATAAAACAGTACAATGAATGCTTATTAACAAAAATACCAGTACTTCTTTAAAATAAAATTAATAAATTTGTCTAACAATAATAAAAAATAAAATATTTTTAATAAAATAAAACATTTATTAATATTATGCCTGCTTTCTCTCTCAAACCTTGTTTTTTAAGTGTTTCTATATGTTTTATTGGCATGACAAATTACAGTACATTAGCAGAGGGTGAAACTCACTCTCTCTGTCACTCTCTCACACACACATCGTAAAACAGCAAAGGTCAACAGATGTGATCATAGCTCGGTGTGTTGATCACAAGTAAGACACATGTTATGAGAGGCAGGAGGCAGCCAGCCAGCCATTGTTTAAACAGGGATCCTTCATGTCTTAAACCACATCACACAACACATTCTGGTTTAAAATATCACACAGCAGCAACATAAGAACAAACAGGAACCGCAGAGCTGAAGAAGATCTGTCTAGGTGTGGTGAATATAGGCTGTGTGTATGTGTGTGTTGTGTCTTTATGATAAGAAATGATAGACAGTTAGCACAGCTAACATCTGCATGCTTCATTCCATCACTCTCTACAGAACAAACATCAATAAATCAGTATGTAATGTATAATACACGAGTGTCTGCGCGCACACACACACGTTTCAGAGGACAGTAAAATCTCTCAGAACATGCAGCAGTGTGATGCTCTCATTTTTAACCTGAACGCAGAACAAGAGACACACACGTCATGGCTGGTTGTTTATGGGACATATGTGTGTGATTATGTGAGAAGGATGCCGAGCGGTAAATGTGAAGTGTAACCTTGGCATTGCAGCACAGATTTAACACACACACACACACACACGCTGAACTCACTAGCAGTAACAGGCGAGATGTTGCCATCCCACAAACCCGATCACTCTCCCTCTAATAACATGTATGTGTGCGTGTGTATTCCCATGTACCTTTTTCTTTTGATCCTTTGATTGTTTCCTGCTCTTCCTCCTCCTTTCCTTTTCATCCTCCAATGCATTAACATCCACATCTTTATTCTTCTTAATCTGAGACGCCGCATGAGCCATTATCCAGCATCAGCCACGTCCCCACAGCAACCACACGCACACGCACACGCACACACACACACACACACACACACACTCTCACACACACAAACACACTGAGACAAACGTCCAGAATATGTAACAAGAATTCCAATTCCTTAAAAGATTCCAAAAAATTCCACCAAAAAGAGTGGAAGAGAGGGATTCCGTCCAGAAAAGAAAAATGAAAAAAAAAAAAAAAAATCAACTACTCCGTTTGCTCTCCTCCAGCTTTTGTCATTGGCTGCTCAAGGAACCATATCCAGAGAGAAGAAGATACAGAGAAAGAAAGAAAGAGGGTGGGAAAGAGAAAGAGAGATGGATGGTGACACCATCATCACCAGGCACAAGTGAACGACTGAAGAAGAGAAAGAAAGAGAGAGAGGGGTGGAGGAGGGCAGCTGGGGTGGTTACTACGGAAACCACGTTCTCTCCTCAGCCATACTCAAACGGTCCTACCTGAACGTGTACGTGTCGCCGCGACAACCAGCATCAGTGTGTGTGTGAGTGTGAATATACGTGCATATGTGTTGCCCCCCCCACCAGCACCGTGTGTGTGTATGAGTGTGAATATATGCGCATATGTGCTGCCCCCCACCAACACCGTGTGCGTGTGTGTGTTTGTGTGTGTGTGTGTGTGTGTGCATGGTGGTTGTAGGGGAGGGGTGTCGCACAATTTAGCTCATGCATGTGCGATCTCTCTCTCTCACACACACACACACACATAATTTGATGTGAGGGAGGGTACCACTACTACTCCAATCCCATTATATTAATAGCTGACCCACTCTAAATAGAGAAGGTGGTATATTTATGCATATTTTAGGGCATATAAACTTAGATATGAACACAATATTTTATGTATTGGTAATGTATAATTATATTTAGATTATATTTTTGGGGATCTGGGGTGAATTCATGTTTAAGGACAAAAAAAACAATGTGGTCATAAAGCCCAGTGTGTTTCCCATAGGGAAACATGAGAGATGAATGAATATGAGTGGTAAATGATCGTGGTTCACACACGCAACAGCTCTCGGCTTCTTTCTGATGTCATTGACATTCTGAGTATGGAGTGATGGCAGCCATGTTGGTTTCTCCTGCATATCAGCAATCAGCCACCTGAGTGCAGCAGGGTCCTCTGCAACTCCAAGACTGCCTCAGTCACTGCCTGTACAAAATCACCCTGTACTTAATGTTGTATTTGTGTGACAAAAATGAGAGAATGAAAAATACAAATGACAATCCATTCCATTCCATTTCAGTGGACTACACAGTGTTTAACTAGAAAATGCTACACATGTAGCAATGTCTTAAAGGGAAAGTTCATTCAAAAATAGCAATTGTCATCATTTACTCACCTTCAAGTAAGACCTTCAGGTCTTTTCAAACCTGAGTCACTTTCTTTCTTCCATAGAACAACAAAGGGCAATGTTAGGCAGAATGGTCACATTGCTCTTCTGAATGACAAATAAGCAAGCACAATGTATAATATTATATTTAAAAAATATATGAAATAGAGTAGCATGAACACTCTACCTAACTTCTCCTTTTTGTGTTCCACAGAAGAACCTCAGGATGGTGAATAAATGATGAGTTTTTGTTTTGGGGTATACTAACCCTTTAATCACTTATACCTAATACTGGTCTTCACATGCTGCAGCTCATGAGTCATATTTAGCTTGTATGAATTGTTCAGAAAATTATTTTAAAAAGTAAAATGAATGTGTTATTTACTACGTCTTTACTACAATTTATACAAAGAAAAAATTATGGTCTGCATATAAATCACTATCCATTTAATAAATACAATTAGCATTTATTGGTATTTATTATTTAATAGAAACAACTAGATATTTCACAAAAAGATGATGATGGTCTCCTCACAAATAATATAAATCTAAATAAAAGCCATGAGCCATTATCAAGCATCAGCCACTTCCCCACAGCAACCATACACACAAACACAGCCAAACACAATAATATAAATCTAAATAAAATACATAAATATAAAATACATTCTATTTAATAAACACCATTAGGGAGATGCATTATTATTATTATTATTATTCAAATAGCACATGCATATAAATAATATTACATACACTTTATGATTCAAATATAAAAAGTATATAAATCTTATATAAAACGTTCTATTGATTAAAAGTGGTATTTATTGGAAAAATAGTATTTCATTTATACTATTTTTGTGACCATCATCTTAATTTTGTTATTTGTACTAATTTGGTTCTATGTATATTTTTGAAAAAAGGCATCAGATGAAAAAGCTTGGTGTAAAAACAACCTCTTTTCATATAATACTTCCCTACATTTTCTTAAAGTCCCGATAGTCTGGTCTGTTTTGGCTCACTCTTACCCTGGCCCAGTTCCCTTTGCTCTGGATCCACTATTACTGCCACAAACACAGCCGAAAAGGGTCCATTTACCCATCCATCAGACTGGGCAAACAGCCAAACACATATACTACCCCTGTCTGGGAACACTGTATAAAAACAAAAGAAGTACGGTAAAAACACACACACAAACCCAGCAACCCCTACTCTTAAAAGCCCAACCATTCATCAAAACTATGAGAATTACCAAATGATTGGTTGTAAAGATGCCAGCACTACTAGACCATAAGAGCTGATCACAGCAGATCAGAGTCCAAACCATTCCTGAAAAGCTGATTCATAATTAATTCGCTCACTAGGGGAGAGCTTGTGCTCACGTAGTCACGGTTTCCTTCCTCCCTCGGGACAGCGTGCACATTCCCAGCTCACCCGTATCACCAAAGAGACCATTTCCACCCCATCACACCTTGAAGAATTACTCAAGATGCATGTGTGCTGAGTTGTTGAACACGGTGACTTCTCCAGTCATGCACACGCAGAAACACCCTCCATCTCCACCAACAGTGACCAGTCCAGCCGTCAATTCAAACTGACCTGAGACAATGGTCAAAACAGCCGGACCAGTCAGATCAGGTAGCTGAACCCATCAAACCAGATACTGTCAGACCAGACAAACAAAACAATAGCTGTCTAAAAAAAAACAATTTCCACACAATATTGAAAACAGTATGTCAATTTATGTGTGGAAGTGCTGATAAATCAGAGTGCATACATACTGTAAGGACCATGAACTCGAAACATTCTTTAGTACAAAACTGCAAGATTAAGAAACACTTTTGAACGGTAGTGTAAATCACACATTTTTTATTTATTAGATGTATTTTTTGTGAACATTAATGGGACTGTTTTTCCCTCTCTGCTGCCTTCGATGTCACAGCTGAGGACAGTCGCTATGAACATAGACCATGCAATTTAAAGAAGAAATAAAAACTCACCAGGCAATGGCCAGTAACTTGCCAAAGCCAAATTTACTTGCCAAAATGTTCATTTTGAACCCTGGCTTAGGGCCATTGTCAAGGGGGATATCCGGGAACGTTATCCTGGACCGTGTGTCGTCTGGTTGGCATTTGCGAAACATTTGTGCCCTTTATGGCATTGCATATTTACTGGGCCCAGAGAAAAGATGGCCCTCCTATAAAATTCTGTCCTGGCTGCTGTGAATTTGAGTTGCGATCCTGCCCTCAGTCCACATTTAGACACAATCAAGCAGGGTTCCTCAAATCCATTCCAGGGTTCCTCAAATCCAAATCCAACCCTGATCAAACTCACCTACATGTGATTTCTAGTGATCCATAAGACCGTGATTAGCTTGTGTTTGATCAGGGTTGGAGCAAAACTCTGCAGGGCAGCGGCCCTCCAGGATGTTATTTGATTCCTTTCAAATTTTCACAAAGAGCAGCTTTAAATTCACATCTGAACACTGAGAACAATAAACAAATACATAGAAATGTTACTGCTTATATGATGCACAACACATTTAGTATATGCATGCAAGTCAATTCCATAAGCTGTCGTGCATTCTGCAATATTCACATATGAGGCTGATCCTTGTACTTACAGTGGTGCTCTACTGCCCTCTTGTGGTTTGACAGAGAAACTGGAGCAAAGTAAAAAACGAAACTATGCATAGACATATTCTAAATAAAGAACAAAACAGAAAAATATATATACACAAAGGGAAGAAATGTGTGTTGCTTTAGGCAGTCAAAAGCAATACATTGTTATTCACATGTACAACAGCCTCTTTTTTAAATTAATACAAAATAAAGGCCTATTTGAAATATTGCACGTTGGTCCTCTCACTAAAGAATAAAACATTAATATACATATTTAAACACATTTTAAAAATATCCACCTTTCATACAGATGATAAACCCAGATATAATGTGCAATGCATGAAATCATTAAATAGGAAAGAACTAATGCTGTCAAAGCATGTAAAGTATTTGTTGTAGACGTGCCTCTAAATCTCACCAGCCAGTCACAGCATTTGTCTAAAGCCCACAGGCAGTAATCTGAAAACCTGCTAGGACATGCTTTTAAACTGTGAAGGTCCCACCCAGTCAAAGGTGAATGGTCATCTGGTGTTTATGTAGTGGCACAGTCATTTAACATCTAAAGCGAACCCCTGTTGAAATCCTGATTTTATATCATTTTTGGTTTAAATCAACCCATAAAATTCCATGTAAACTTGACAGCCACTTCAAATATAGATCCATAAATTCATGAAATCTGCATCTCCATTGAGATGTCTTATATTCTCCCCCTCTCTCTCTTTTTCTTTATATGTTTCTTTCTCTATAATGAATCCAGGTCGCACTCTATTGCTTCCTCTCCTCTCTGGAGAGATGACAGGTGACATTAACTCTCTGGCTCTGTATGGTAACCTAGTTAGACCACTTTACTCCTGTGGTTACTTTACACACACACACACACACATCGATGTTTCAAATAGAATGCATTGCCTTATTTCACCACAAGGGGACATAGTGAGTTACACGAGGTAAATGTCAATGTTACAACAAGCTAGATCATAATACTACCTAATGGCCTCACAATTAAAATGATCAAATTTCTAAATATCATTTATATATGACTCCATAAAAGACAGTGAGAGCCTTCTTGCCATATATGGAGACATCCATAAGTGATCACAATAAAGATGCAGAGGGCTGAGTTAAATCCATCCTCTCTGGTGTAAATGTCACCATGCCCATGGAATGCATTTTTTAGCTCAAGTTCACTGATGCAACATAAAGAGAAAAAGATCGATTGCTATTTGGACCCTGTAATTCTTGCAAATGGCTGTTTTTCAGTGTCACAGCTGTAAATGAAAACGCTGTAAATGAACAAACTATTCATTTCAAAACTATTAAAAAATAAATAAATCTTACTGACCCCAAATATTTTAATGACAGTGTAAATGCAAGAGTGAATCCTCTATGATAGAGGAGCCACTCCCAGGGGGGTCATGGTTAAGCTAGTTAGATTTAACAGTTAGCATTCTGTAGGCAAAAAGCCTGTTTCTCTATGGACACC